GGGGGGGGGGGGGGGGGGGGGGGCGCTTAGCACAGAAAGATACGATAAACACAAATTTTTGAATCCTATTCAAGTGAATTCCAGTACAATTAAGGCAAATGAAACACAACAGAAACAATCATATCAGTGGAAATGGGGGTCAGATAAGATCTGAGCTTCCCCAAATTACAGAAATGAGGTCTCCATGAAAATGGTTCACAAAAACAAGAAAAAAAATTATCTACACAGTACTATTGAAGCGAAATGATGCAGAAGCCACCATGGCTTTCAGTTGCAGAGAGAAACTACTCTGCTACAAGCTACTCCATCGGCTTGATGAAACCAGTAGAAGTGTCTCAAACTCTGTGCTTGTGGGAGCTATTGGGAAATGCTTCCCCCTGCAAAAAAAAAACTGAATTGCAAACGCAGAAACTACAGTAGTATACCCCCTCAACAGGCCATCTGATTATTAGAATGAACACTTAATAGTCATAAGACTCAGTTTAGTTTCAAGGATCATTAAAACATAGAAGACACCAGTTGGGGGAAATTTTCGAAGACTTCAGGATCCCACATTACACATACCAGCTTCGATGCAAAAGACAATGACAAGAATGGAAGAAGGGTAATGCCGGAAGGGTATTCGTAATCTTTTGCTGCAAGAGAAATTGCATGGTACAAATCCAACTATACATGTACATGATTCTAGCATGAAACCAAGGTTCTGCCAGCTCCAACGCTAAATAAAAATTAAGAGCAGGCAATTAGCATGAGAAAACTCATATGAGTTACAGAGAACCTAGGGAGCCTGTCCTAATCAAGCTAATTCCGCATCCGTTTCCTTTGACTACCCTCTTCAGAATATCCCTGCAAACAACAAGAAAAATTAAAATTAAAATTAAAAGCTCTGCATANAGGGAGCCTGTCCTAATCAAGCTAATTCCGCATCCGTTTCCTTTGACTACCCTCTTCAGAATATCCCTGCAAACAACAAGAAAAATTAAAATTAAAATTAAAAGCTCTGCATAACAACCAGGCAGCCACAAGCACACCACACTATGCCTATCAAAAGGATAACGTAAATTCNATAACAACCAGGCAGCCACAAGCACACCACACTATGCCTATCAAAAGGATAACGTAAAATTCANTGTCCTAATCAAGCTAATTCCGCATCCGTTTCCTTTGACTACCCTCTTCAGAATATCCCTGCAAACAACAAGAAAAATTAAAATTAAAATTAAAAGCTCTGCATAACAACCAGGCAGCCACAAGCACACCACACTATGCCTATCAAAAGGATAACGTAAATTCAAACATTGAAAGCATGCTAGATATTCACTACCACTACACTTCACTATTCTAATATACATCATTACAAATGATTAGGGTAAAAATCAGACAATTGCAGTAGGGCTTGCACATAGATGCATGCACCCATGGTTACTCAAGTAAAATCGCTTCTTAATCCTCAAAACAATTTAAAAAATGCTCCACATTAGAGCTTGGACTTGCATTGGAGCAAGGTGACATGACTTCCTGTGAAGCTATCTCTTACAAAGATATATTTTCTCAAATTCAAGGCAAAATGCCTCGATCCTTTAATTGTCACTTCTAAACAAACACCACAAGCCATGAATATAAGGAAAGCCAAATATAAAATTAAATTGGGAAAGAGATCTAACTAATTAGGTGCTTCAGTTCCACATATTACCCATTCAATATCTATTTGCATCAACAATTGCTCAGTATGCTCAGGCCAAATTTTGCAGATGTCAGGGTAATTATGTCTATTAAATGGCATTTCATCACATATGCACATCACACACATTCAAGAAAACGTTGAGGCAACCTAGATCACATAGAGCGGGAGCGCAAAAGCGGGAAATTTCAAAAAAAGAGCGGGGGCATTACTAATAGCGTCAAATTTATATATATGGCGAATTGATACACGATGTAAAAGTATCAAAAATAAGAAATAAGATTACAATAGAATTTTATTGCAAATTCTTGATCCCATATCCGCAGCCTAGCAGCAAGTGGAATCAAAACACAGCTATAAATATAACTACAATCCCACACCGGCAGCACATGAGCAAGTGGAATGGAAGGCAGCTTTTAAATAGGACAGCTTTCTCCCCTTTTCGTTAAGTAATTGGGCCTTCTCTTGGGGCCCAATACATTTGGATATAGTTAAGTTTTAATTGGGCTAAGGTCCAACTCAATAATCAGTTTAAAATTATGTGAAATTCTGGAGTAAATCCCAAAAATGTATGATTCCCAGATTGTAAACATTGAATTCCCGGATTTGATTTTTGGTATGCGCAAATTTGTCTCTAATTCCCGAATTTGCGTTCTGTGCACGGTAAAGGGACAAATTGTGTGATCTAAGAGGCAACTCTACACACGCAGATTCTCGAGAACATGTTTCTAACTCAACAATAAATATTCAGATCAATTCTGCTTTTCACATCAATTTTCTTTTAGTAAGCAATATTGCATTTAAAAATAACCCAAGACATAACTTTTACAAAATGATCATAGAAGCAAAAGAAATGCATACCCCTTCGTCTTTGCCCAGATCTTCAGGGGAAACCGCACTAGAATCAGACCTGCATTTAGCATGCACTATAGGACCTAACTGAGACCTATCCATCCCTGCTGCTGATCCAGTGGGTGCATTCATGTAGACAGCCCCCCTATACATCCATTCTTCAGTCTCATCACTATAAAAATCATCAAAAGGCTCTCCACAAAGTGCACAAACATTTTGATTCTCATCAGCAGGTACAGCCATTTCTTCATCATCCTTGCTTTCGTCAATGTTTTCAGGGGGTAAAAACCCGGGAACTGCATCAGTTCCCAATGCCTCTGCACCCCTGAGCCACATACTGACACTTACAAACCACTTACGCGATGGCTTCTGCTTACGGTTTTTTGACATCCGGTTCTTGGTCACATGCCAATCCATATGACTACTGTGTTCCTCTTGACATTTGAATCGAAGCCCACATGTTGTGCATTGTCTGGGAAGATCAGCATATAGAGCAGTTATTGCAGACTCGTGACGCACCTTAAGGAGGTCCAGATCAAACTCGAGTCCCACAGAATCCTAAACATCAAAGAACATGGCTTAGAACAATCTTTCACGGGATACCCCAAATAAGTAAATCCTTAAAACGCTGTAAGTTAGTTTAAGAACGTTATCGAGGCGTGTACCTGAGCAGGAGCTTGTTTTGTCAATGAAATTAAACCTTGGGCCATCAGAGAACTAACCAAACCTGAAAGTGCACTCCCAGCAGGAGGGTTAGGGGCAATGGGATTTGGATAATGGGATATAGGTATCATATGAGATGAAGTCGGAGGGGGGCCTGGAGGCAGAGGTGGTAAGGCTCCCCCAGGAAAATGTAAGGATGTGTTCGGAGTATTAAGCATTGGCATAGACGATTGTACACCATGAATTGGATTCGGTAATACATTACTTCTGGAAGCACCATTCCCTGGCAGGGTGTAACTATTATTAAACTGCGGTACCGCTAAATGAGAAGTGGTCGAAAAAGCAGCAGGTGGAACCAAATTTTGGTGAACCTCCCGAGACATTAATAAGTGTGGCGGTAAATGAGAGAACTGTGCTGGGCTCTGCCGATTCAAAGGGATTGGCCCAGGCTGTTGGTTTAGAAATTGAGGCAGCTTACTTAACACATTGCTTCCACTACCATCCAACTGCTGCTCAGGCAAAAATGACTTATTTAGACCTTGATCCAAAACTGCATTGGTAGCATACATTGAATCACACTGACCCCTAATCTGTTTCTCTGGGGGAAGAGTAGGTTGAAAAGGGAGTGGATGGGATATCTGAATATTTACAGAGGGCCATGCTCCTGTTGATGCTGGCATAGCAGCGGCCCGAACCTCAGGAGTCAAAGAGTCAAGACTTGAACTTATTCTTGGTACAACAGCTGAAGACCCACGTAGTCGTGGATCTGCTTTTGGAAAACTGCCAATCAAAGGAGGCTTCTGCTCACCCACTGATGAAGAAATGTCCCTTTTCATTGAACTTCTTTTGGCATTAAAATTGTGTTGTGAAGTCTGAGGGAAATTCCGTTGCAATTTCCAGGGTTGTTGAGGATAACCAGAACCTAGAATCTGTGATGTCTCATTGCGGATTCCAGAAATATTGGTGATCAATCCATGGCCAGACTGCAAGAAAAATTTTCAAATTTTCAATATTTTAGCACAAAGCCTTTCCACACATATAATGAAGGTAAATACCCTCTCTGATCAAAATTTGTCCGTTTTTCTTAGACATGGTGCAAAAATGAAGACCAAAAAAATATATGTTTAGTATTAGGTTGGTCTGTGCAACTGAAAATCTTTAGAAAACAAGAAAACAAAAGGAAAAAATTAAATTCATTTATATGGGTGGATTTTGGAGTATGATGTAGTTGACAACAAAAGGGAGCTAAAATAGCTGAAAAAAACCCCACCAAATTTTTAAAATTTTAGTAAAGAATATTTACAAGAAGAAAGCTCTGGCCAGGTTTGGAAAAGCAGATTAAGTATTTCTTCAGATCTAGAAAACGGGGAACTCACAGATAAAACTATGTCATGCATGATAAATAATAAATTCATGCCTATCCACATAATAACTATTTTCCAAATCGAATTCATCTAAATCGAATAAAGAACATACTAAATGGACAAAAAAGAAACAGAATACTCCATACACTGACAGACAGAAATACATCCTTCGATGGAATTGCATCTTCAGGAATAACCAAGGAATCATTAGTCAAAGCAAGTTGGGCCTGATTAGGCCAGTCACTTCTTCTGAAATCAGTCTCCAAAGGTGCAGCAACATGAGCTCCAAAGCCACGTTTATTCCTAAAATTTCCAGGAGGTGGACCCGATGATGAGAATAAATCATTAGCCCGACTGCGGTCTACCAAAGTTGGGCTCATATCTTCCCAATCAAACTCTTCCTCTTCAGAATTCTTCCATGTCTTCGTAGCCACCTTGCTGTCAATGCCATTTATATCCAAGCGTTCAACTTTTGGAGGCTTATGGTTAATTTGGTTAATTTTTTTTTCCACTTGATCATTTCCATAAGCATCAATTAGAGCTCTAGGTCCTTGAAGCTCAACCCCATTACTGTAACTATATCCAGCAGAATTTCCCCATGGCCGACGAGTGTTATCAGACCCATGATTCCTCCGCAAGTAATTCACCTCCTCATCTCTGCCTGTCACTCTGCCATGTTCATAATCAAACCTAGAATGAGATGGTGAATCCCTTTCAATAACCCTTGGTTTTAAAAGCATGCAAATTCATATGATCATACCCGATTCCGTAAGAAGAAGAGGACTGCGCGGTTTTAGCAACTGAAGATGGAAGCAGATTTCCCGCCTCAGTGGCAAATGACGAACGATCTGCACGAGCCATTGAGTTAAACCTTTGCACTCCAACCTCCGAGGATATGACCTCTGAAGTACCAGAGTCATATTCGTCATATCCAATGGCTGGTGTTTGTCCACGCATCTTCAAGGCAGAAGAAGTTTCCCTTGGCAGTCGAACACTCTGCAAGAGTTCCAAATGGATTGTACCTTCAGCAGTTGTTTTACACATGGATTCAGATCGTATTACTATAATAAGAGAAGAAGTATGTACTCCCATAGGTGTGACAGCAAGCAGAGAAGAAAATGGTAGTGATGAAATACTTTGGAAGGAGAATGAACCAAGCAAGAACCTTTACATGCTCTCCCACCCTCCCCCGCCAAATGGGTACAGAGACACAGAGGAACAATAAGAAACAACCTCTGCGTAAGAGGGAGAGGAAGTGGGATAATCAATAAATAAAGAAAAATAAAGTAAAAGCACAGACGACATTATCTAATATTCATACTAGAAAATACTTGGAACCATAAAAAAATAAGTTGCTTATGATATGATGGGTAAACTGATTTTGAAGAAAACACAGAATAAAAAAAAATAGAGTCAAAAATCAACAAATTGAATTGAATCCTTTGGGCAATTTCAACTGGTTTTTCTCCACTCTTTCTCCTCCAAGAAACCATTCAACATAAATAACAAATGCTCAAAACCAATGCCCTCACAAATCTAGTGAAATTCATATGCTGAAAGAGTCTGATGGGCAAAAAAATTTAATTAAAAAAAAAAAAAAAACCCGTAATGGTAGGCTGTAACTAGGTCAACCAGTACAGCACCGATTTAGCATGCATAGAATTGTGAACCACATGGTTAACAATCCCTACAGTGAATCTTCATCTCACGACGAACCTTGCAGGATGATCTCATAGTACAAACAGAAGAAAGTTAAATGTAATACAAGATCAAGGCATCTCGATTTGGTGTGCTGCCTGTCAGATATGAACATCTCAGAAATCATGAATATCAATTTCCACGACTTGAATATTAGTCTGAAACCAAAAGGGTAACATATTACAATTTGTAACGTTGCATTAAATCTCTGAGAAAATAGACAATATTTCCAAATTTAATAACAATGCATCCCAGTAAGTTATATCACATTTGCAATATCAAAAGTAGGATTGATTAAAGTAGGTCACCAACTTGTGAGTCTTAGTCCTATAAGAGAATTCCTTCTGAATAGGTCACCAACTTGTGAGTCTTAGTCCTATAAGAGAATTCCTTCTATATTTGTTCAGATGTCAATACCAAAGGGTATTAGGCTCCCAAAAATAACCAGTGATAAGGCTTTAAAACCCCGTACTACATGGACGGGAGACATCAAACAGGCTATGGAGCAAATTTTTGTTGCTAACAAACCATCTTTACAAACTAAAAACAAGATACCAAAGTGTCAAATGCAGAAAACCAATAATAAGCCAAGAGCAATTCCACATATCATGGCTCATGACCCCACTTCCCCTGGCCAAAACATGCATAGTTACTTTTGGAAATCTAGTCACATTACCTATATCGTTTAGACATCATTATTTAGTTTTAACCTCCAAATATCAGATTTGACTATTTAATAGTTGGCAAAAGTACAGGCTCTTTGGAAGAGAATTCAAGACTGTTAACCATATCCGTACTATCCCTTGGCATCTGACTTTTAAAAATTCTGGAAATTTACGTACAGTCACTTCGGTGAGAATGCAAAATTGTTGGCCACATTCATACAATCCAATGATATCTCAAATTTTCAACAAGTATGTCAATTTTTCAATAGCTATTGAACCACAGAAAATGAATAATTAAAGAAACAATTAAAAAGTTCTACGAAGAATTTCATTCAGTATTTGCCAGGACGGATACANCTATTGAACCACAGAAAATGAATAATTAAAGAAACAATTAAAAAGTTCTACGAAGAATTTCATTCAGTATTTGCCAGGACAGATGTGGAACTAGTTCAACAAGACAGCTTATACAACAGACATCAGATTCACTGATCTACAGATGTCCTGTTATAAGGTTGCACTAGTAAACTGCTGTCTGACCACAGAGAGGGTTAATCCGTTAAAGTGAGAATCCATTGGAAAGCTTACACCATCCGTATTTGATTCCTCAAATATCCCCAACAGGAAAGGTGATGGGGAGAGAGAAAGGGACAAGGATTTAATCGAAAAGCTTACGCTATCTGCATGTTCAAACTGACGTCTTGCTTCCAAGTATTTTGGATTGACATGTATGCCATGAGTGGGTCGTGGAGATTCAGCAGTCCTCAAGGCAGTCAAACTAGAAGATTGAGAATTTACTGATGGGGAAAACTGCAGTTGACTCTCAATTTTGCGAAGTACTGATGAGGGGAAAACCGCTGACCATGTCCCAAAGAGGTGGCGCATAGCAGGATGAAGATTAGGGTGCACTTGCCTGTATGCCTCACAGAAAACCTTGGCAATATATAAATATAAGCAAAATGAGAAACGAAAGGCATACTAGAATCGTAAAAACAGAAACTTATATCTAACTAGGAGTAAATAGCAATGGATATATTTTCCACTCACCTCAGGCAAATGGACAGAGAAGTATCTGGCATACACCCTGCCAATATTCTTGACAATACTATCCAGCAGATATAAAGAAGGCAGTTTTTGCTCAACTGGGGCCTAACAATACAATATAATCAAACAATGAAAGTGCATACATACAATAATATCGAATGAGAAAAACAATCAAATTCACCCACTATGTTACCCAATTCATAGAAAATGTTTTGGGTACCCAAAAAAAAAATCAAGACTAGGGGATCCAGAAAGAATACATCCTACAAAATCTTCAGCGAAGAAATTCTCCTCCCCGGAGAGAAAAAGTGAGATAAATATTTAGATCCAGGCATAAACATACTGTAAGTTCAACACTTCTGCAACTCCAACATGCTAAATGAAATCAAAATCATATTCAAAAATATACAACAAAATTTCAAATGTCAGTTCCTATACAACTTCTTAGATTAATCTAATATTAAAAAAAAAAAAACCCAATTCCGAGTATTCAAAATTCTTCAAATTTACGCCCCTACCTCGAGAATTCGAGCACAAATAGCATCGGCAATGCTCTCAGCATGCTCTCTCTGCTCACCAGCAATAATTGTTAAGTCTGTAATAATGGGCTTCGAATTAAACGTCAATTCTGATAGCACCATCTCATAGAGCCGCACAATTTCATCGGTACTCAGCCCAGAGACGTCGTCGTTTGGATTCAAAATCCCAATTTCCTCTTCTCTCTCCTTCACCATGGCCTTGAATCGATCGACAACTTGCGGTAGTGCAGGCTTTTGTGCCACGACGTCGTCCGCCATTGGCTTATTAAGAATTCTAGGGTTTGAGAGTTCGAACCTCTCAGCGTCCATTGCGAGAAGTGGGATAATTCACTGTGACTGGCTGTCTGGATAGTTAGAGTTAGGGTTGGGGTTAGGGTTTTGCAGCATGAGAATCGAACGAGCGTTGCTTTTCATTAGGTAATTTTGAAGAGAGAAAAGGAGTTTCAGAGCCGAGAGAGAGAGAGAATACGTCTACGTGTCACGTGTGTTGTGTGTGTGGGATGTAGTTTAACGGAATGGATTGGCTAAACATTAATAAATAGTATTCTGATCTGACGGTTTGAATTTGGCTACCAGTTAAGGTGGGCCCAATGGGATACAAATAGTAATATTATAACGACGTAATTTGGGACCAAAGAAAAAAAATATTCATTGCAATAACCATATTACTTCAATATTGTCAAGTAGTATAATTAATTAATAATATTTAAATAAATAAGAAAAGAGATATTATATANCAACTCCAACATGCTAAATGAAATCAAAATCATATTCAAAAATATACAACAAAATTTCAAATGTCAGTTCCTATACAACTTCTTAGATTAATCTAATATTAAAAAAAAAAAAACCCAATTCCGAGTATTCAAAATTCTTCAAATTTACGCCCCTACCTCGAGAATTCGAGCACAAATAGCATCGGCAATGCTCTCAGCATGCTCTCTCTGCTCACCAGCAATAATTGTTAAGTCTGTAATAATGGGCTTCGAATTAAACGTCAATTCTGATAGCACCATCTCATAGAGCCGCACAATTTCATCGGTACTCAGCCCAGAGACGTCGTCGTTTGGATTCAAAATCCCAATTTCCTCTTCTCTCTCCTTCACCATGGCCTTGAATCGATCGACAACTTGCGGTAGTGCAGGCTTTTGTGCCACGACGTCGTCCGCCATTGGCTTATTAAGAATTCTAGGGTTTGAGAGTTCGAACCTCTCAGCGTCCATTGCGAGAAGTGGGATAATTCACTGTGACTGGCTGTCTGGATAGTTAGAGTTAGGGTTGGGGTTAGGGTTTTGCAGCATGAGAATCGAACGAGCGTTGCTTTTCATTAGGTAATTTTGGAGAGAGAAAAGGAGTTTCAGAGCCGAGAGAGAGCGAGAGAGAGAGAGAATACGTCTACGTGTCACGTGTGTTGTGTGTGTGGGATGTAGTTTAACGGAATGGATTGGCTAAACATTAATAAATAGTATTCTGATCTGACGGTTTGAATTTGGCTACCAGTTAAGGTGGGCCCAATGGGATACAAATAGTAATATTATAACGACGTAATTTGGGACCAAAGAAAAAAAATATTCATTGCAATAACCATATTACTTCAATATTGTCAAGTAGTATAATTAATTAATAATATTTAAATAAATAAGAAAAGAGATATTATATAAATTAATTAGTCATTAATCGTGCTGAAGGTACTATACAACAAACAAATTTTTTTTAAACAATTATCTAAATTCAAAAAAAATTACTTAAAAATATTCATACAAATTATTTTTTAAAATGACTCAAAATATATTATCGATTATATCTTTCATATTAATGGATCTATCATAAAAATATATAAAAACTCTCCAAAATAACATTNATGGGATACAAATAGTAATATTATAACGACGTAATTTGGGACCAAAGAAAAAAAATATTCATTGCAATAACCATATTACTTCAATATTGTCAAGTAGTATAATTAATTAATAATATTTAAATAAATAAGAAAAGAGATATTATATAAATTAATTAGTCATTAATCGTGCTGAAGGTACTATACAACAAACAAATTTTTTTTTGAACAATTATCTAAATTCAAAAAAAATTACCTAAAAATATTCATACAAATTATTCTTTTAAAATGACTCAAAATATATTATCGATTATATCTTTCATATTAATAGATCTATCATAAAAATATATAAAAACTCTCCAAAATAACATTATATATACAAATGCCTATGAAAAAAAAATACTAACAAAATTCATTAAAATTTACAATCTTTAAGCAATAAATTAAATAAATAAAATCTTGTTTATTTATAATATTCACGAATTATCACCTCTAAAACCACTTCATCCAATAACACAACATAATTATCAACTCAACTACCATATTTTCAATTCACTCTATCTCCATCTAATAAATACCTCAAGCAAAAAATAAAAATAAAAAATAAAAAAAAATATATATATATATATATAAACAGAATACAAATAAATTCACAATCTTTAAACGATAAATAAAATTAACAAATNAGCGTCCATTGCGAGAAGTGGGATAATTCACTGTGACTGGCTGTCTGGATAGTTAGAGTTAGGGTTGGGGTTAGGGTTTTGCAGCATGAGAATCGAACGAGCGTTGCTTTTCATTAGGTAATTTTGGAGAGAGAAAAGGAGTTTCAGAGCCGAGAGAGAGCGAGAGAGAGAGAGAATACGTCTACGTGTCACGTGTGTTGTGTGTGTGGGATGTAGTTTAACGGAATGGATTGGCTAAACATTAATAAATAGTATTCTGATCTGACGGTTTGAATTTGGCTACCAGTTAAGGTGGGCCCAATGGGATACAAATAGTAATATTATAACGACGTAATTTGGGACCAAAGAAAAAAAATATTCATTGCAATAATCATATTACTTCAATATTGTCAAGTAGTATAATTAATTAATAATATTTAAATAAATAAGAAAAGAGATATTATATAAATTAATTAGTCATTAATCGTGCTGAAGGTACTATACAACAAACAAATTTTTTTTAAACAATTATCTAAATTCAAAAAAAATTACTTAAAAATATTCATACAAATTATTTTTTAAAATGACTCAAAATATATTATCGATTATATCTTTCATATTAATAGATCTATCATAAAAATATAT